AGTCAATATAACTGAATAGCATCATTATTCTGATTGCTATAGCCTATCATTTATCTTTTGTTCTGTTGTTTAATTAAGTTTGCACTTTTGTCTGTTCTCTTTATGTAATAAAGAACTTGTCTTGAAGTTATTATCGTGATAAGTTCATGATTTGATGAACGTAGCCTGCATCTCTTCACCTTTTGGAAGAACCCTAAAAGGGCGAACTCATGATAAGTTGTTGACTCGTTGGTCTATGTGAATCTGATAGTGATTTTCAAATGTGTTTCTTTTAGCCACTTCCGGAGACAGTGTTGCTTGTGTCGCTTGTGAAGGACATTTTTGTGGAGTATGTAACGGACTTGGTAAGTTTCCTTTGATTTTCTGAATTTCTCTCGTTTAAATTGAATGTTAGGTAACATGTTGAAGCTTCCACTTTCCTGCAGGCACATAAAGCTCAGGATATTGGAGCAAAGAGAGGAAAGCTATTAGTTGAGGATTTTCTGTATCAAATCCGCTAGGTACCTTTTGTTCTGACTCTATGTACTTAAATCAGTCCTGTTCATTGCCTTGTTTCCATGGCTACAAGCCTACAAGCTTGTTACTTATCAAATTTTAATTTGGGTTGAGAGTGTTGTGCATGTTTCTAGCCATTGACTGACATCAATAAATTCTTTAACTCTGCAGGACCTGCCCAAACTTAACCGCTGTATAGAATTGCTTTCAATTCAAGAAGAGCTGAAACAAGCCGAGAAGGCTTTTGAGGTTGATGAGGAGAAATTGGCAACACTAGAGTAGCCCGACTCTCGCCCTACGTAAGAAAAAAGGGGAAAAAGGTGTATGACTGGCTGTATGTAATTGGGTATGCTAGTAATTTTCTATTGTGTAATCAATAATTATGATGGTTTATAGTAGAAATAAAATTTTAGTTTTAAATTTAGAGAAGTGCTAGCAATATTCTCTTTGAAATTTTCTCCTCTTTTAACTGTGTCATCTAATACATGGTACTTAAGTGTTTGGTCATACTTTTTCGTTTTAAATAAGTTATAACTTCTACAACTCATCATCAATCAAATAAATGAGGTTACCATATGTCATGTGCTAGAAGATTGTTTGTTGGTTTTAAATCTAGTTGAGCTTGAACTTGAAAAGTTTGTTTAGCAAGTTTTAGCATTTGTGGAATTTTTATGCAGTTAAAACTTTAACAAAACTGTTAAATTATAAACAGAAAAATTTTCTACAATCCGCTTAACAAGGAAAAAAGTTGAATGCAAAATGACTATAAGAGTTTTTTATTTTGTAGTTTACTATAATTTAAACTTCACAAACAATTTTTTGAAACTATAATGTCATTAATAAATGTGGGATGTATGAATATTTATTAATAGTAATTTAGCCTTTCATACTCATGGTTGTTTTCCCTTTTTTCTTTTTAGGGCGGATTCTAAATTTTCATTTTCAATTATAAATTTGTAAAATAATTAAGAAAGTTTTTAAACTTAGAAGTTCAACCACAAAAAGTTTTATTTTAGAATTATTATGTTTGGAATTTTAACTTGTACGTCGTGGCCTTTAGGAACTGAAAATATATTTAACGTGAAATTTTTTTTTTAAAAAAAAATAACAGCAGAGAAAAATCTTTTGAGAAACTAATGAAACAAGCAAGTGCAAATCAATAACCCAAAGTGTGGATCCCATTGGGCCTAAACCCAAAATTTTTATAAGGTGCCTTTGCTCTGCTCCACTCTCCAACAGAAAGACTAGAACCTGGCAAAACACAAAACCTGATCAGCGTGCCTTTCAAATTCGAAATCGGCATCTCCCTTCTTCACTTGTAGCCTTGTACGGTTGTACCAACAACACCAGAACCAGGCCATGGCTATGGTTCTGGACTCCAAAACCGACTTACCGTTTCCCTACTGGACCTCCGTTTGAAGACGTTTTGGTCCCGACTCTTCTTTCTTTGCTACAGGCAACCTCCAAATAATCAGATAGAGATGTGATTATTTCTCCAATTTCCAACCGTATATTCAGAGAAATTGTTTTCTCTTTTTCCTTGGATATATAGAATCAACGAGTATAAGCAGAATTTCATTTTGTTTCATTGATTTTCCAATTAAAAAAAAATGTAGATTTAGGTCAAACATCCCCTAATCAACAGGCAGGCAGCAGAACATGATTTTGAGTTTCAGATTTACAAGACAAGAATCTCAGGATTCAGAAACAATTGTGGATTCAAATTTTTGGAAGAACAGTACCTTGTCTAACCGGATCCGACGATGATGTTATTGATGGGGATGAAGATGAGCTTAACGAAAAACCCTACGCATCCTATCACCACAAAGCCGATCGTCATACGGAACGCCACCTTGGTGAATTCTGAAAACCACAATCAACGAATCGTTTCGATTATCCTAAGATTCGTAATCGCATGAATTGAAAGAAAATAGATCGGAAGAGGAAGCATAGCAACGTTTGCCGTCGGACTTGCGGCACCTCTTGACAAGGCGAACGCTGTCCTTGGCGAAGTCCCTCAAAGGATCGAAGACGGTATCTATGGCGTCCATTTTCCCTTCCCTTCTTTTTCCTCTACTTGTTCAATGAATAATGATAATTCGCCAATCAGATCTGATTTACACAAAGACAAATGTCATCTCTGACTACTATGCCATGCAACGCGCCCGCGTTAGAAGTTGATATTTTTTTTTGCTTGACGTAAATACCCCTTGTCTATCTTTCTTTTGTACACTTTTGGCCCTTGACCAGTCTTCCACACACAAGGTGTCGTTTGTGTTAATTTTTTCGATCCCAGAAATAAGTGACCGAACCAAACCCCTAACCACACGCAGTCTCTTTGAACACGATTTCGGTGAGAAAAGCCATCTGTCATTATTGAGCTTTGAATAAGTAAATCAGACCACTTAAAGTACTATAAGATTTTATATTTTTTAAATCGAAATTGATATATATTATTTTTATTAAAATAAATTAATTATTACATCAATGACATCCACGTTTATTTTTTGTGAACATGAAAATTAAATTAGGTTTTTTATGATTAATTATTTAAATAATTTAATAATAATCTTTTTTATTTAAAAATAAAAAATTTTAAATTTAAATTATATAAAATATAAGTATAATAAAATAAAAAATAAAAAAATTATTTTCTATTATATAATCAATCATAAAAAAAAATTAAGTTTTCTATGTAGTTCCTATGTTCACAAAAAAATAAATGTGGATGTCATTGATGTGACAATGACTCCAACTTAATAAAAAGTAAAAATGGGTGTATCCGGCCCGGCCACCCCAATTGTGCCCGATATAAATTAACCATCCGCTCCCCCACCTCACTCCACTCCACCTCCTTCCCCTACCTGCAACTTCAATGGTAGACCCCTCCATGTATAACTTCTTCAGCCAGAGCCAACCTTCTGCTGCCAAACCCACAAAGCATGCAGCAGCTCCGTCCAACACCTCATCTCCGCAACGTTTTCCTTGCCTCTACTGTCCCCGGTAGTTTGACACTCCTCGAGCTCTCGGCTGCCATCAGAGTGCTCACAAGCGCGAGCGGGCCGCAGCTCGGCAAAACTTTCCGGCCGCCAACCAGAAGCAATACCACCCACATCCTCAGTTCCCCACTTATCAACAGCAACAACCCACCTCATCGATACCATTTCCCTACTTTTTGGGCATGTAGCATACCGCGGGTGCAGCCGTGATGATCGAGAAGTGGCTGGAGCCCATCCAACCGCAGAAGCACCAGTACCAGCGCCTTTCTTCCAGCTCGGTCCCTCAGCCCATCAACACGCGTTCTCCTTGAACACAATTTCGGTGAGAAAAGCCATTGTCATTATTGAGCTTTAAATAAATAAATCAGATTAGTTAAAAGTTCAAGATTTTAATTTTTTTAATCAAAATTGATATATATTATTATATATATTATATTAAAAAATTTAGTGTAATTTTGAATTGTTTTAGATTATATTATACTAACTATTAATTAAAGATTAGACTCTTTAATATTAGAGTTTTCTTTATTTAATAGTTTCAATTTTACAATATACACACACCATCTAGATCATTCTTTTGTTTCTTCTTTTTTCCCTTTTATTCTTCAGCGCAGCATGTGGTGCATAGTTCTAGAAATATGAAGTTTGAATTTTTAGTTGAATGGAGAGAGTGATAAAAGGGGAGAATTTTTTTATTTTATAATCCATCATCACATATATTGAAAAAGAAAAAGGTTTCAACCATTGTAATTAGGTAATGCCTTTGTTTGCCCCATTACCTTAATTAGAGGTTTAATTTACTTATTTCAGTTGATGGCGCAAATTAAGATCCATATATATTTCTTTTCTCATGTTATTCAAAAATAATAAAAAAAAAAAAACAATATCTAAGTGCAAATTAAGCATCCCATGAAATTAATCTTTAATGTTTTTTTTTGAATAGCAAACAACTGGAATATAAGGAATACTTCTACCCAAATTTATCAAGTATTCTTACAAATTAAAAAACATTGAGACATTTCATATTGATGAATGTATTACCAACTAGCATTACCCCCTCGAAGTGTTCTATCATTTCATCATCTCATTTGCTTCACTTTCTGGACAGGTTTTGAACACTCCCATGGGTTGGTAATCCAATCCATAAAGTTTAATTCTCCTTGTCCAGATTTTTCAATTATCCAACGATAAGAACAAGTTTGCACCAGTGTAAACAATTTCTCCTCCTCATCATTGATACCTTTGAATATCTATTCATTTCTACATAGCCATATGGTCCATACAACCTACAACAATAAACCATATTGCTTCCCACACCTTGCTACCTTTTTTTATTCTATTGGTCCAAATCTGTTGCTGAAAAGCCTGCTCTAAGTTTCAATGCATGACATAGAGTAGACACCACCATCTGAAACATTTTGTCCATAGCTTCCAGGCAACAATGAAATTTAGTAACAAATGTTCCACATTCTCAATAAAGGAGCCACATAGATTGCAATTTGCCTAAGAATCCTCCTTCAATATCCCTCTAGTTAGCAAATTGTCTTTAGTTGGGATTTATTTATGTAAGGCTTGCCACATAAAAGCGCAAACCTTTCTAGAAGCCAAAGGATTCCAGCACTTCTTCCAAACTACATGAGTGCCCAGCTAAAAGTGGTGTGTCAGTAACTTGTAGGCAAACCTCACCAAGTATCTTCAATCCTTCTCCCATAACTAGGTTCATTTATCCTCTTTGTTTGCCACTGGTTTTGTTTCTTGTAAAAGCTCCTCTAATTGGGCAATGATCTCGGTTTCCACATAGATTGGAGAGGTTGATGCCTCCACTTGAAATCCCATTGCCAAGAGTTGTCTTTCCAGGATCCCATTTCAGCCACTTTAATTTCTTTGTCTGCAACCAGTTGAAATAGTCTTGAAACTTGTCACAAAGATTAAATTTCTAATGCGCGCAGTTATTTTTCCAGAACAAAACATCTCCCCAGCTGCCTAAACTCAAACTCAATCTAAAACTTTCAGTCATCCAATCCTCAAAACCTTCCAACTCTCTACCCAAACTACGAATATCTCTCCACCATTTGGACCCTTGTGAAAACTCCTGTTCAAAACATTCTGTCCAATTTTTTTTTTTTTTTTACTCCATATTTTTCCTCTAACACCGTCTGCCATAGCCCCTTCTCTTGACTCAAAAACCTACTCCACCATTTTTCTAACAAAGAAATATTAAAAACTCTAAGATTTTTAACACCAAACCTCTAATAATTTATCCCTACACACATTCTCCCACTTTATCCAAGAAATCTTTTTTTTTTTTTTTCTCCTCACAGCCCCCCACAGAAAACCCCTCCTGATCGAATCAATTAATTTAATCACTCCTTTTGGGACAAGATACATGGACATGAGATATATCTAAAGGTTAGAGAGCACAGAATTTAAGAGGGCAATTCTTTCACCAAAAGACAACAACTGAGATTTCCATTTTGATAGTTTCTTTTTAAATTCATCAATAAGAAACTTCCATGCATTCAATCTCTTCATGTCTTAACCAATTGGGATCCCCAGATAGACAAAAGGAAGACTTCCTCTTTCACATCCAAATACCCAAATAGATCCTTACATACATTTTTTAATGGACAACAAAATATCCTTTATTTAATGGAGTATACTCCCACGCATAAAACATTACACACACATTAATCAAATATAAAAGATTTTCCCCCCCATCCACATATCAACAAAAATAGTGTTTCCTGTTGACAGACGACTCTCATGCTGGGGAGAATTAAAATTAGGGAATTAATGCCAACAAACTCTCATTGTCAAACTCATAAACCCATTTTATTAATAAAACCAGCATTTATATATATCTTCAGCACCATTCAGTTTAAAGCACTTCAAAGGCGAAGGGTGAGGTCCATATTGGCAGAATCATCCATGTCAGTGGTAGGGGAGAGAGCACTGGCAGTCGAAACGCCCAGAAAGCTCTGAGGGACCGAGCTGGAAGGAAGAAGCTGGTGCTGGTGCGGCTGCGGCTGGATGGGCTCCAGCCACTTCTCAACAAACACGGCTGCACCCGCAGTACGGTACACGCCCGGAGAGTGGGGAAATGATATCGATGAGGTGGGTTGTTGCTGTTGATAAGTGGCGCACTGGGGACGTGGGTGGTATTGCTGCTGGTTGGCGGCCTGAAAGTTTTCCCAAGCAGCAGCTCGCTCACGCTTGTGAGCATTCTGATGGCCGCCAAGAGCTTGAGAAGTGTCAAACTGCCGGGGACAGTAGAGGCAAGGAAAACGTCATGGAGATGAGGTAGTGGGCGTAGTTGTAGCATGCTTGGTGGGTTTGGCCGCAGAAGGTTGGCTCTGGCTGAAGAAGTTATACATGGAGGGGTCTGCCATCAAAGTTGCAGTGAGGGGAAGGAGGTGGAGTGGAGTGAGGTGCGGAGGCGGGGTTTATATAGGGCAGGATTTGCACAGCAAATTTGCCCCATAGGGGTCGAAGGGCCAGATACATCCATTTTTACTTTCTATTGGCGTGGAGTCATTGTCCCACCGGTACAGCCATTTTTACTTTTCCTTTGTCCTAATCTAAAGTATATTAGTGTAATTTTGAAATTAGGCAATGAAAAGTATATTAGTGTATTAGGACTATGGAAAAGTGAAAATGGAACTTTTCCTTTTTCCTAATATAAAATATATTCCCAGTACACTAATATACTTTAAATTAGGACAAAGGAAAGTAAAAGCAGCTGTCACCAGTGGGACAATGACTCCACCCTAATAAAACAACTCCATTATCTTAAAACTTGAAATAACATTTTGCAGGAAGCTGTTGCTATTACCACTGCAATTCAGGAAGGGATGTTTTTAGAGATGGGGGTTGGTAAGTTTTTCATACATCATTTGTG